GTCACGCCGCAATCCCTTCTCCTCCATTCTCCTCTCAGGATCTTGGGCACGCCCGCTCACGCGCCCAGCGTGAGATCTAAGCCACCAGGTCCAGGACGCAAACCGCGGTCGACTATGTGGGAGTCCAGCGACATAGCCATTACGCTAACTGCTGGTTCCCGATGATACATTTTTGAACCTGATTCAGAGAACAACATTTAAGTAAGAACTCACTTAACTCGTGATAGAACTAGGACCCAACAGAGGAGGCCCTGATTTCTGGTGTTGGGGTTTGCAGAGTTGATTGCTGGTTGCTCTTCCTGGTTTGTCTCTGAAAGTGGTCCGAGGAACGTGTGAGACGTCTCTACTGAAGTGGCCTCCTGCCTCGGTAGTGGTACGGGGCCTGGCGATGGTGCTGTCTGGTCACGCCAGGGCCTTGGACCCTCGCTTCCTCTTCTCACGGTGTCGTGTGGGTCAGTGGTAGCGCTGGCCGTGGAGGGCACCCCAGCTCTGAGATGGAGACAGCTGCTCTGCGTTCTCTCGTTAGAGGTGCTTGGATTCTCTGTCTCTCACCTTCCTGGTGTAGACGTGGGTGGTGTCTCATGTAACCACTCTCCTCTTGGTTTATGTGATGAGAGTGTGCTTTTTCTTTGTATTAAAGGGTAGGTAGACTAAGACATCATAAAATACAAGAATATTTGCTTATCGTTTCTTACTGTTAAAATATTGGCTATTTCCAAATGACAGTGAATAAGCACAGAGTGATCTATTGGGTTGTGGGAAAGTCATCGCATAGTTTCTGCTTTTCCCTGCAAAATGCATCATGTTCCGCCGACCTAGTAGCTAATGTACAGTTATTTATGAAGTACTGTGGGACACTTCACAGTGTGGGCTCTGTGGGGAATAAACAGGCCTGTTTCCTGAGGAACCTGTGGTCCCGTGGGTGAGAGGAGAGTTGCTGACAGCGGTACAGTGTGGGGTGAGGCTGATGTGGAAGAGAGGGGCTGCGCTGAGCCCTTGGCACAATTTGGAGGCAGCAGGAGCCTTTCCTGGAGAAAGTGTGTTTCACGCAAGACTGAAGAGTAGGGGAAGCTCTTGAGCACAGGCAGCAGGTGCCGAGTTCTGGAGCCCAGAGCTCAGGGCCCTGGAGGCGGCAGGGCAGTCTGGGGTGCTGGGTGTGGCCTAGGGTAGGCATGTGAGCCGCCCCCGCCCCACGCCTGCTGAGAAGTGAGTGGAGGCCGAGCAGGCCGCAGCGAGAGGCTGTGTTGTGATGCGGGAGCTGGGCTGGTGAGCTGAAACGAGAACGAAGACCAGGTCGATCCCGGGACGAGCAGTAGGACCAGTGAGGCGCATCAGGGCTGTTCCCGGGACCTCCACGAGGCCCAGGCTGGGGCTGTTTCTGTCCTGTGAAAGGAGGGCCCTGGGAGGCGCAGGCTGGAGGCAGCCAGCAGGCGCTTGCACAGGCTAAGGTGCGGGGTGGGGCGGGGCGGAGGGAGGTCAGGAGCTGCGCGTGTCCGTGTGGAGGAGGGGCCCACGGAGCTGCCACGGGGGAGGGGAGGTTGGGAGGGTGGCCAGGGAAGCCCAGGATGTGGACGTTTTAAGTAGGGGGATGTTGTCAAGTGTTTTAAACTCTGGAGAGTCCAAGCAACTGATGACTTGCACTCAGTCCCTGTATTTGCCAGCATGCCTGTTGGCCGTGGCCTCCCCCTTAGGATGTTGGCGGACCGGCGACAGCACGTATTTAGAAGAGAGCATTCACTAGGACATGGCCATGGGCAGGGCAGGCCCACAGGTGGTGTGGCTGGCCGCAGTGGTGGAGCGAGGGGGTGTGAGCAGGGCATTGGTGGAGCACGTGAGGTCAGAGGAACGTGGCCTGCAGCCATACAAAGCTCCTTTCTTAGAAGGCCGGGTCAGGTCGGAAAGAAGAAATCGTTTATTTACGTAACTGTGTATTCAGTGCTCACTGTTATGGTTGCTGGGGACACGCCCGGCACTGGACAGGCCCAGCCCCTCCCTCCATCTGACTGAGCAGAGGGCCGGGGCTGCTGTGGGACAGCACCGGTGGCACGGAGCCTGGCTGAGGCTGGCCTTGCATGGTGAGCAGGACACAGCTGCAGGGCCTGAGCGGGCGGAAGGGGCTGGAAACGAGGCTGCAGGGGAGGGCCTGGGCTGCTGGCTTTGTGTTTTCCCAGCCAGAGTAAACACAGCCATGTGGCCCTCAGAGGTGGGTGGCTTTTAGAGACTTTTTCCAGGCTCTGTCACTGTGCAAGAACTGGCCAGGCTGGGAGGCCAGCAGGGGTGACGGTAACAGCTAGGCTGCCCGGCCGGGTCAGCTGAGTGAGGAAGGGCAGCTGGTGCCAAGAGCACGGGAAGGCAGTCATGGCGAGGAAGGTGCGGGTGTTGGTTTTGGACTGCTGTGATGAGACGCTCAGCCACAGCTGAAGGAGGTGTGGGTCTGGAGCTCAGGACAGCTGGGGGGTTGGAGGTGTGTCCGCACAGCAGGAACCTGGAGCGAGCAGAGGGCAGGGCAGGAGGGAGGTGATGTTTCAGGATGCTGTGTTCACGTCACACCGCCCTGTGGGCACACACCGGCCTGGCTGGACGCACTGACCTGCGGGGGGGATGTACCCACATGCGGGGGCGACGGGGGCGGAGATGCACTGACCTGCGGGGAGGAGGGGGTGCACTGCGGGGGGTGGGCGGGGGGTCGCAACCACCTGGTGGGAGTGCCGGCCTGTGGGGACGCTCCAGCCCAGTGGACGGTGGAACGAGAGCTGTGGGCAGGAACCAGCAGGGCCCTGACAAAGGGGGAAGCGTGTGAGACCCCAGTCGAAGCAGCAGGAAGCTCGTGCTGTGTATTTGCAGATCTCTGGGCAGTGGGCTGAGTGGCTGTCAGCTGACGAGTGGGTGGAGAGCGTGCTGGAGCTGGCCTGGCCCGCTGGGGAAGTGGGCGAGCGCAGGGCGGCAGTGTGGACAGGCTGTCGGGGTTGTGGAGAGGGATGGTGCGTTGGGCCGGAAGACGAGGGCTCGCTGGCTGGCGCTGCTTGCTTAGTGAAGTAAGAGGTGAAGTTGTCTCCTGAGGGAAGGAGGGACAGACAGGTGTTGGAGACTCAGACGAAAGGAAGAGCTGAGAGTCATTTTGGGAGTGGGGAGGGAGGTACTGTGGAAGGCCTGGCAGTCTGCACTTGAGGCCTGGGCGTGAACTTAAAGTGAAAGGGGCGATCGTGCGTCTGTTCCCAGCTGTGCTCAGCTGCCTGGGGCAGGCCTGGGGCTGGTAGCGGAGCTGGTGAGGGGAGAGCAAAGGCATCGAGGGTCTACCTGGCAGAGGGGAGCTTCCAGCCACCAGGAAGAGAGAGAGCCAGACCTGATGGGGAGAAGGGGTCCGCAGAAGGGGGCAGGGCCTGGGAGCAAGATGTGGTCCTGAGAGGGCCAGAGGGTGGTGTGCTGGGGAAGGCGTGCTGGAAAGGACACAGGACTGCTGGTGTGCAGGGGCAGGTGCTCACGGTGGAGGTTGGGAGTGGGTTTTGTTGGTGGTGACGAGGTCGCGGGTATGGCTGTAGGAGTGGGTGGCTGAGGTCAGCTGAGATTGTCAGAAATGGACAGGCCGGCGTGGGGAGATGGTCAGAGACCCACACGCTGAAATTGCAGGCACTGAAAGGCTTTGGTTGTGAGACCACAGGTCACTGTGATGGTCAGGACAGTGGCTGCGTGCCCTCAGACACGCGCTTCGCGTAGCTGGACTTCGGTGGGACGGGCGAGGAGACCGTGAATGAATGCAGGCAGGGCGGGTTTGCCAGTGCGGGGCCGGCGTTGCTGTGGAGAATCTGGAAGCTGGTCACCGGCCAGAAGGTGGAAGGGCGGCATTTTACGGTGGTGGTGTCTGGGGCGAGCGCGGGCTGCTGGGAGGCCTTGCTTACTGGGCACTAGCAGCCTGCGTTTCCTGATTTTAAAGCTGCACCATGGGCCCAGCTTCTTCTCTGGCTTCCTTTCTGCCGAGGTTGGTGTGTGAGTGTAGTAGACCCCTTGGAACCTGGGATTTGCTCTGCAGATTAAATCTGGAATTAAATCTGGGGATGAGGTGACTGAGGTGTTCTGGGCATGGACTAAGGAAGTCTTTTTGTTGAAATTCATGGAAGCAAAGAGAATGAAAATCTGGGTCTTGGTACTGTTTAATGAAGTGACTTAATAAATACCTCTGCTTTGTGGTTTGAAAATTAATACATTTTTCCCTCCCCAGAGGAGGAAGTCCTGCTTGGCGACTTGAAGAGACAGCTGGCCTCTGTCTCTGAGGAGGTGATGGATCTGGCTCAGCATCTTCCTGGCGCTTTCCGGAAACTGGAAAATCCACAGAGGTTAACTATTAAGTTTTTGTCAACTCTGTTCACTCTTACACATTTTCTTACGCAGGATTGACTTCATAAGGTACCCATATGAATTAGCCTGAGTGCGCACACACGTGGAATGGTGTGGTGTGTAAGGCTGAGGACGCTTCCTGGGAACTAGTGCATGGAGACACGCTTTGGGCTTTTCTGTCTGCTTTGCAGGGCGTTTTAGCAAATAAAGAAATACAACATAAACTATGTTTTTGAATATACTTTTCTGTCAAGGTAAAACGGTAAGTTCATACTAAGGAAATATTTAAGATTGAAAATCATTTTCTTGCTGTTACTGGGCATCTTTAATTATGTTTATAGTGCGGTCACTTGAGACTAACAGTGGAAGCAGCATCTACGTTTAGCTTCATGTCTGGGCTGTCCCCATATTGTTAGGGATTCCATGTACCTAGCAGACTATTGAAACGGAAGGCAGTTAGATTGGAGAAGTTACCTGGAGCTGAAACCTCGGTAACCCACGGTGTTTGGGGAAGTGTGCTGTGCGGGTAAACGGACTCGGGTCACGGGCGTTGCCAGCCGACTCCCGGAACCAGTCCGCATCCCAGCCCTCCCTGCTGCGCAGCTCCCTGTGTCTCCCGAGTGCCGGGGTGCGCTCCAGCAGTGAGCAGGTAACTGTGGCTTGTGATTTTGGAGCAAAAACCACTTGGTAGAAATGTGACGCTGTTAGTTTGAAAAGAAAGGATCCTCACTGGGAAGAAATGCAGCGTTAATGCTTTTTTTTTTTTTTTTGATGAGATTTGTGATAGATTTTGATTGAGAGATTTTTCTCTTTTTTTGGAGAGCGTCTCTTTTGCTATAGGGCGCATGCACTCGCCAGAAAGACAGAGACAGACAGACAGAAAGCGAGAAATCACCCCAGGGAGGGGGGGGGGGCTCAACACAATCCCTTTTCCTCCATTCTCCTCTCAGGATCTTGGGCACGCACGCACATGCGCCCGGCGTGAGCTTAAGCCGCCAGGTCCGGGACTCAAACCGCGGTTGACTATGTGGGAGTCCAGTGACATAGCCATTACAATAACTGCTGGTCCATTGAGAGATTTAAAACTATGTGCACAAATTCAACTTTTCCAAAGTCATTTCCCCTCTAGCAATTTGTTTTAGTATTTATGTAACTCTAAAAATTTCTGAAAGATGCAATTTTCAAGGGTGGTAGGGTAACTATACAGCCACTTCTTACTCAATTTTACATTCCCCCACCATGAAATTGGAAACCGTCTATGTCTGACATCCGTGCAGTTTAGATCTCTGTACTAACAGTGAAAATATCTACTGGCTGTAAATGACATGTGCTCAATGCTTTGTTTCATTATATCAGAATTAAGGTTTTCCTAAAACTGGAGAGTGGGAACTACGGGGCGTGTAGTTTCAGTGTCGGAAGAAGAACTAGTCTACTCTCTTCTCTCATGTTCCTTGTAACATCTGACTTACCTGGGTTAGACTCAGAACCAGGAATGCACAAGAAAGGCCTGATTAGCCGCTGTTCGGGGTCCACACGTAGCCGAGCCCAGCCTGTTCTGGTGGGGGTGAGGCCACAAGCAGAGCACAACGTCTCGTGTAGATGCGGCTTTGTGAGCTTGGACACTGAGTCCAGGGTGAGCAGTGTAAGTGATGGGATGTGCATGGCAGCAGCCCTCCAGGCAGTGGGCAGTCTCTGAGGAGTGGACACACCACAGAAACTGGAACCCGGGCTCTTAAGTCGGCAGCCTGAGGCTTGTTTCAGGAGTGAGTGGCTTTGTCGTTCAGCGGGCCCGTGGGTGCTGGTGCCAAGGGCCTTGGTCCATCTGAGGTCAGTGTACATCTTTCATCACGTGCTTGACATTCCACTGGGTGCCGCGGCTGTCTGCAGCCTACTAGTAGGCAGAGTCAGAGCCCAGAGGGAGGAGCACTGATGCCTCGTGGGAGAAGCAGGACAGACGCCTTTGCTGTTGCTTAGAGTATTAGTCATCACAGAGGTGTGGCGCCCTGCGGCTGGTGCAGGGTAAGTCAGCCGTCAAGGGTCTTGTGTTGAATGTCAGAGCATTCCCCGTGCAGCCCTGTCATGTATCTGTTCCTATGAAGTTACAGTTCTTGGGACCAGCAGATGGCGTAATGGTTATGTCGCTGGACTTCCACTTCCATGTCGACTGCGGTTTGAGTCCTGGACCCAGCGATCTAAAACTCATGTCAGGCGCACGCGTGTGTGTTCAAATCCCAAAAGGAGAACAGAGAAGGGATCGCGGTATGGCCATCCCCTCTGCGGGGTGATTTCTCACTTTCTGTCTCTGACTCTCTGGCAAGTGCATGGGCCCTATAGAAAAAAATCTCTTGGGGTTAGCTGGTGGCATGGTGGTTAGGGGCACTGGACTTCCACATCGCTGACTGTGGTTCGAATCCTGGATCTGGCAGCTTGCTTCCTTTCTCTGTGTGTCTTGCTCTGGTCAAATTTAAAATAATAATAATTATAAATGTAAGAAACGAAATATTTATTTTTTAAAAAAAGAAAACAGAAAAAGTCTCTCAAAAAAAAAGTATATTCAAAGCAGTGGGCTTCCATTCAGTTAACCAGCTTTGGTTATAAAATGATCATTTAAAGGCACTTAATTAAGATGTTAAGATTAACATTGACAGTTAAGGAGTTAAGAAATTAAATTCCGATTAATTCATATACATCTTATCTTTATTTTATCACTTGTTAAATTTGCCTACAGATGGGAAGTTTTTTAAAAATACAGAATTCATTTTAATTGACACATAATTGTGCATATTTATGAGGTGCAGCGTTATGTCTTGGTACATGTACATAATGTTTTGTGATTAAATTAGTGCAGTTAGTATATTTGCCACCTCAGAGTCACCATGCCCTGTGGTTAGAACACACAAAGTCCTCTCTTCCAGCTATTCCGTGCAGTGAAACACTAGAACCTATCTCTTGTGTCTAACTGTGACTTTGTGTGCGTTGGCCAACCTCTCCTCACCTTCGTCCCCACTACCCTCCCAGCCCCTCGTAGCCGCGATTCCTTCTTTCCTAGCTTCTGTGTATGAGTGAGCGCGTGCAGCAGCTCTCGTTCTGGCCTGGCTTATTCCACATCTCGTAATGTCCTCTAGCCTCATCTGTGCTCGCAGATGACGGGGGTGCATTCCTTTCTATGGCTGCATAGTATTCCATTTGCTCTCCCCATCCATCCAGTGATGAGCACTGAGGCAGCTCCCCTCTCGTGGCTACTGCAGTGGACCTGGGGGTGCAGATGTCTTAATACACTGATTTCATGGAGTGCTTTGTATTCCAAACATGTGTTTATTTGTGAGAATTTTGAAGATGCTAAATAGAATCATTTTTAAAATACAGTATAAATACTTTTTTTTTTTTTGGAGAGGCTTTTTGCTATAGGGCGCGTGCGCTTGCCAGAAAGAGAGAGACAGAGAGACAGAAAGCGAGAAACCCCCCCCCAGCGGGGGATGGCCATGCCGCAGTCCCTTCTCCTCCATTCTCCTCTCGGGATTTTGGGCACGCACGCACACGCACCCGACGTGAGCTTAAGCCACCGGGTCCAGGATGCGAACTGCAGTCGATTACATGGGAGTCCAGCGACATAACCATTATGCTAACTGCTGGTCCCAAAATACAGTATAAATACTCTTCTGTGGTTCAGTTGGGACTAGTAATTGATCGGTGAATTTAAAAAGTTAGATCAAACATGGGCTCATAAGACCTTTTCTGTTTTAAATTAAGATTTTTGCCTTAGGATGCATGTGCTTGCCAGAGAGAGAGAGAGAGAGAGAGAGAGAGAGAGCGAGCGAGAGAGCAGGGGAAAACGAGAAATCAACCCCTAGAGGGGCCGGCCGTGTCGTAGTCCCTTCTCCTTCGTTCTCCTTTTAGGATTTTGAGCATGCACCCACATAGCCAACGTGTTTTTCAAGCTGCTCGGTCCAGGATTCTTATTTATTTATTTATGAGAGATTTCTTGGTATAGGGTGCATGCGCTCATTGGAGAGACAGAGAGACAGAAAAATCACCCCCTGGGGAGATGGCCACACTGCAATCCCTTCTGTAGTCCCCTCTTGGGATTTTGGGTACACATGCACACATGCCTGGCGTGAGTTTTAAGCCATCAGGTCTAAGACCCAAACCGCGGTAGACTACGTGAGTCCAGTGACGTAACTATTACTCCATCTGCTGGTCCCAGGGTCCAGGATTCCAACCTGCAGAGTCAGCCATGTGGGATCCAGCGACCTAACCACCGTGTTACCTGCTGGCTTCGTAAAGCTTACCTTTTAACTTAGATGCTGATCTGTGTTAGCCCCGACATTCTGCTGTACATTAAAGCTTTCCTCAGAGTGCGGTGCGGGCCTGCCGTCCGGAGTGCCGCCCAGTGCTTCCGGTCTAAGCAACACCCACAGCATATCATCTGCAGTTGGTCATTTCAGCGTCTTTAAAGTGGAGTGAAAAATTAAGGCACTTGGGGCAGTTTGAGCAGAGTCCTAGGAATTTTATGTTTTTTCTCTCCGAACATTTATAGATACTTTAACCATAGCTTATTAAACAATTTAAAAAATTGTTATCTCTTTCCTTGTGTTCAACTTAGAATTTAATGTAAGTTTTCCCCCTTGGGGCAGGGCTGGCAGTTGTGATTGTGGAAGTGTGTAGCTACAGTAAACACGTGTGGGGCCGGCACCCCGTTCTCGGTGAGTGAGGTCTCAGGCTGGTCGCTGAGTGCCCGTAGTGTTTGAGAGTAGTCTGCTGCCTTCTTACGTGGGCACTAGGGAGTGGAGAGGAGCTTTAATCTGAGTGCCCTTACAGTTAAAACATCTTTAAACTTGTCCTTAGAATTAATGAGATTAAAATTGAATAGCCTTTTATTAATTTTTTTCTTTTAGGGTTTCTGTAGTGTTGAAGAATATTTCAGAAAACGTGTCTTCACTGAGAACGATGATACTCGGTTCTCCTGACGCTGAAAGTGAGCTGAGGCCCAGCAGTAGCTCGAGCACCCGGTCGTCGTCGGGTTTCAGCGCTGGTGGAGCGCAGCAGAGGTGGGGCAGAGAGCAGGCGGTGTTCTCGCACGTAGAGGAGGAGACGTGGCCCGCAGCACCGGGCGACTCGGCTGAACACGGTGCAGAGGGTGCCCTGGGAGGGGGCGTGGGACGGCAAGGAGATGGCTGTGCAGACGGAGTGGAGGACAGCAGGGCGGAAGAGCACGCGGCAGGCGTGTGCCCATCGCCAGACACCACGGTACACGTGGTCCAGGCTTCGGAACCGCAGGCTCGTGAGGAAGCCCTGAGCGCTGCTGCCCGGCCGGCCGAGGTATGTGGAGGGGCACGTGTTCAGTCCCCATGTGGCTTGGCTGGCGTTCAGTCAGGGCAGGCGTCTGTTCTCAGCTGTGCTGGAGCTGCGGTCTCTGCAGCTCTCAGCTCTGCCCTCAGGGTGTGGACGGCTGGTGTGCATGGCGGTCAGTCAGCTCCTCTACGGCTGCAGACAGGGGGCCATCCCTGCCCCTTCGGAGCGCCAGGGAAAGCTGGAAGGACAGGTTCATTTTGGTGCGAACAGTTTTGAAGTCCACGTGTGCAGTTTGTTTTTTTTTTTTTGGGAGGTTTTTTCAC